AACGGCATTCCATTAAAACTTCTGTTCCGTGAGCATCGGGGGCTGAGCTTTTTGCTTTATCAACTTCATTAGGCAGGGATCAGGATCCGGTTCTTTTCACCCACGTATTTTTTTTCCCCTCTGCACACCGGAAGTTCGTTATTACGGTTTACTCCGGGGAATGGAAACTATTGAGAGAACACTGCGTTCCTTTCTGTTTGCTTGTTGCATTTCATAAAGCTTTTTGCGTTTCGATGGTGCATAATGCATCAGTACTGTATGGGATGGCATATTATTCAGAAGCACGATGCTGTCGATTACATTGTTCGAATGTGCGTTTGAAAGTGCTCAGTGCATTGAAAGTTCTTTTGAAATGTGCTTACTCCATCCAGTTTTTGTTCAAGATAAGACCAGGTTGTACGCTGATGAAATTTTATACGCGAACTTTTTATTTTTCAAACTTTAATTTTTAAAGGCAACATTTGTTAAAATGTGTTTGTGATCGCTTTTCGTCGTAAAAATAGCATCACAACGTTTGTTTTTATATCACGGATACTGAAATTAACTTAACCTGCGGTATTCGTATTTAACATGATATTACTCAGCCCAAGTTGATTTAATGTCATTTATTTCTAAGTAATGTGGAAGTACAGTTGTGTCGAATCAGGTTCTTGGGCGAGAGGATGCCGACAAGAAATCGAAATAATCAAGAGTTCAGAAGAGTTGGTTTCGCTGTAATGCTTTCAAAGGTTGAGTGCACACATCCTTCGAAATGCGCGCCGTTTTGCTGTCTGCCCAATACTTGAGGCTTATGAAAATAGAAGAAGAAATGTGCAGTTTCAATTACCGCGATGAAAGCGTCGCTTTCAGACCTCTTTCCAAAGCATCAGAAAGATCATGGCATGCATTTACAGATAATTGTTTTGCCTTGAGAGATTGTAGTCCGACTCTCGGGCGCTTTGTTGCTGACGGAGAAACAAATTATGCGCACGCATATTCAGACTTTGGTGGATATTGGTGTTGCATAAAACCGAGGTTGAGAATGGTTTAAATAAATTTACACGAAAATTTTCCAGTTATGTCCCGGAATCATCAATGGTTTGCGAAAAAGTTTCGAAATTAGCATTTTTTAAATTCTAAAATCCGTGGATCGACAGCTTTCAAGAATACGTTTTAGATTTTTTTTTTACGCTGAAATTGTTCTCATCGTATTTACGCAAATGCCATATAATTTACCTCTCAGTGAGAGTCGCACTCTGATTTTTCGCAAATGAAAATTTCAAAAATTCCCCTCCCAAGTCGCATTATAATCAGGGACATTTTTAACATGACGCGCACCTTCACAACCCATATCATACCAAAATATGAATGCTGAAAATTTTGCGCGAGCCCGTCGCAGATGCATCGCACCAGCTAGCATTGAATAATTGCAGGGAACACGAGAGGGAGGCAATAAGCATGCACCGATCCGTCGATCCATTTTTCGCCTCTTCCGTGATGCGCGAAGTGACTCGCCGAAGCGTGAAAATATGCCTTAGTTGTCGACACGGGCTGAAAGCCTGGCACGAGGTTTTCCGTGCTCTTCGTTTTCCGAAGTGGCCCCTGATCTAGATCCTCTTCTTCAATGGCGTCTCGCTTCAGCTTATTATCGCTTTGCAGCGGGCGCCTCTCTCGCACCGGGCTGATGCTCACCCCGCCGATATCTCTTCGTCACCCTCTTTTCTTGCGACCCAGTCGCTCTGGAGCCGGGTAAATTCATTAGAGAGTTGATGCAATTCGCATCAGGTCCTTGGCGGAATCAGTCCCCCACCACCCCATGCTAAGCCCGGCTTCCTCGTTGCCGCAGAGTTATTCTCTGTATGGGATCCGCGCGATCTCCCGAGGTTTCCTGCCGGAAACTCGTCGTCCCTGCCAATTTCGCGCCACGTGCTATTTCCGAAGGCGGCAGCTAGCAAATTCGAGCCCCCCCCCTTAGTTCGTTTAGATTTTTAGAACATACAAAATAGAATATTCACCGTGATTGTACGGGATGAATGTTCGATAGATACGAGTATATAGCGTAGATACGTGGAGTTAACCTGTATTTTCCAGGAGAATAATATCTGAATGACGAGAATTTTGCGTTTTTATTCGAACTTGAAATTATCGGTTGATGAGAAGCCATCGAAGCCTCGTGCTTGTATTTAGTAAGCATACATTATACGAAAAAAGCTACCATAAAAACTTCGCCAAATACTTGTTTATTTTGAGCGATGGTACCCGGCAGTCATACGTGTATATGTTTGACGCATGATGACTGAGTCCTTTCTTCTACAAAAAACATGAGTTGGCATTCATCAAAAGCAATGTCGTATTCATATTTTTTTCGTATTCGACTGCTGTAGACTGCAATGATGAGCTAAGCGATCATACATGGCGCTTGCGTGTGATTAACTTGATATGTGTAAAGTTCATATTAATCTATCTCGCAACGAAGTTGCGTTTGTGACGTGGATTAACTCGCTGTTACATTGAACAAAAACTTCCCAGTTGGACTATCTTAATGTTTCAGCCAACATCTCATTAAAACGATTAAAGGAAATTAAGGAGTTCACGTTCATCTCAAGTTGCCCGGGTATTCAAGGCTCTGAATCGCATCAGAATATTTATATTAAAAAAGAATAACTTTTCATTTTCCTTCTCTTCATAAATGCATGGATTCGTACAGTTGTTTAACCTTCCTAAATGGATTGCCCTTTCTTGAAGATCAAATTGAGTATGAAGCTGGGAATAAAAAAAATATTGTTATTCCGTGCCAAAAGATACGCTCCGCCCTTTCTGACTTCACGGCATGAAGATGGATTGTTGTTGATCCCGCAAAGGCCATGTAACTCAATCGCCGCTCAACTTTTTCTTCGGTAACCACATCCTATTCATGGTCCCCACGATGTACTCTGGAGATCATTAAGAATGTTGAAAGTACTGTAATGTTCAACATCATTTCCCGTCCATCGCGCTACTTCTCAAGATAAATCAGAATCTGTCTGGTTTTTGTGGCCCTAATAACGAATAGATTTTTTTAAAGATTCTCTGCGAGTAAACCCGTTAACCCTTGGTTAGTCGTGGGAAAAATATTGTACCGGTTTGAGCAATAACTTAACCATGTCCTTCAAACTATACAGCGTTCCGTATAATCGCAGCGCATAAAATAATGTTACGAGTACAACCACTTACGGAGGCATACCAGAGTTTCTTGCTTCAGTCACTTCAAAAGCATGATTGCACTGAGGTTCTCTACTTTACGAAAGCTTTAATGAAATTCTAGGATGGAGTGTGTTGTAGCGCGCAATTATGCTGTGCAAATACTTACGTTCAATTAGACGAGCCTCAGCCGCCAGGCATATTCAAACTTTAATTAGATGCGATAGATGAGAAGTTCACGGGTTGGCATTTAAGATGCACGTCGAAGCGGAGTCATTTTGCCTTTAATGGCGGCCAATCAAGAAAAACTACGAACTACGTAAAAGTTTTGCATTGTTCCCCAATGCGAGGAGCTCAATGCCAAATAGAGGTCTGAACTTGTTTTCGCGGAACTGTTACCAACAGTAGTCAGCCGCTCACCACGGAATTGATTTACATAATAATTGATTTAAATGGAAAATATGGTCTTAATTTCAGGTATTAATCATTAAATCGTGGATTTTTTTCTGCAGCAAAAGATCCCTTTTTTCAGACATTACGTGCCAAATGAAAGAACTGCAAGCTCAAAAGTCTAGTCTCGCACGAATTCTCAGGGGACACGGAGAAATCCGTATAGAAACGCTAAAAAGGAAGACTCTTTTATGAACCCGGAAAAGCGTCGGAAAGTGGAAAGGAAGCTTCCGCGTTGGAATATTCCATGAACATGTCTTGAAAAACCTATTGTTAATGTATCATTAGCGACGATCAAATTCCGCTCGGCGGTTTGCCGTCTTCTGCGCTTTTCGGTATCTGCATGGACTGTTACGATTAACTCCAGACAGAGAGTAATAGATAGATGTGGAAACCCGTCTGATGCTTCGCATATGTGATTATGTTTTGTTCTCCGAGCTAAATTCAATTTCTAACCGTCAGAATCGCCGAGAAGGGAAGCAATTTTCGTTCATAGCCTTCTAATTGCAGGCGTGGTTTTTGTTGAATAATATGGCGATTCACCCGCTGTACCTTGAAAATTAATGCATCAGGCATTTATGAGCAGAAAGTGCTTGTATTTTTCGACGGAAGGCGGAGAAGCAAAATCAATGGAGAAATCTAGAATCATACGGACAACTATAAATGTCGAATCATAAAGAAAATAAGAGAATTTAAAATCGTTTCTTGGAAAAATCACGCAATATAATTTATTCACGAGTATTCTCGAAAAATTCGAGAGTAAAGAATCGTTGGAAATTGTTTCCCTGGGAATGCTACTGCTGCATCTTTTCCCTTTTCCTCTAATTTCAACTGACGAAAACCATCGTCTTTATGACGACACCGCAGTAGTTTTCTTCCATTTAAGAAACCTTCTTTTTATAGTCCGGGTGAGAATTCTAAATTTTTATACTGTACAGTAAAATATCGTAAAAACGAATCTTATTATAACGAATTATTGGTTAAAACAGAGTAGTTTTTTAGGTCCCTGCCCAAAAGCAAAAATTTTATTCAAATTGCTTTATAACGAAGCTGTATTCCTGCTGGTCCCAGCAGGTTAGGTGCAAAACGATTTTACTGTATTCTTCTCGGAGGCGCTGTAATTAGCAGTTTTCCAGACGATTCTTAGATTACCCATTTTTTCTTATCGCTATTTAACCTTCCTTCAGCACATCCAAATTTCATAATTTCATGCTTCGAATTTTCTGAAATATGCGCGCTTTTCTGGGCGTAGGAAAGCACACGAATCACCGTGTGCACTGAAATTCCTATGGGGAACGCGATGCATTTCAAATTTTCATTCAGGTCATCGACAGTTCTCTGGATGAGTAAAACGCACTATAGTGATTGTCTAGAGATTTTCCCACGGGAAAATGTCGAACGGTGACGGGGAAAGTGACTGATTCTAATTCAATTTCTGCTTTCTTTCCTCGACAGCTGCAACAGCAGGAACCGTCTCGACGGAGAACAAAGAGCCCGAATTCCACGAGAGCACGCCCACGAACATCACAGCTCAACTGGGATCCCAGGTTTTCCTGCCCTGCAAAGTGATCAACCTGGGGGACAGATCGGTGAGCTAACCATCTCTTAGCCTCGTTTGTGCATCGCGCGATGAAGTTCCGAGACCCTTGAGCAACTATACTCACACTTACACTTTGTCATGCCGCGCAAGTCGTCTCCGCGGGAATACGGCTGAAGCAGGGAAGCAGAAATCTCGCGATTTCTCGAGTTACATGCTCAGGTTCCGTACCACGTGGCCTGTCGCGCAGTGTTTTTCGGGGTTTTCCTGTGACGCGCTTTTATGCATGATAAATACGGAGTTTTCGCCACTCCTTTCTCCTTCTGAGCCCTCGTCGCTTTAGATTTGATCCTGCAAATGCAGTCCTTGAGGCTTTCGTGGATCTGCAAACGGAAAAGACACAGTCTGATGCGCACTTTCCGAAGAAATTTAGGAACTCACTGTCCGACGAGCAATTCCATCAGTTATCTAAGATATCGCAATGTAACATGCCCTCGCTTTAAAGGCTCGTGGAATACAGTAGTTGCAGAACGAAGCGCAAGAAAAGGGGGAAACGTGTACGTAAATCTAAAAGATACTCTATTTTGTCAATACGAAATACTGTATTGCACATCACGAGTGGTCTTCCATTATTTATGTTATTCCGTCCACGCCGACGAATGGAGGAAAAGTGGAAGTTCATGCGGAACTAAATTCTTCATGAATTTGCCGCGCGAGCCTTTGTTTAAAGAAGTTCTTCAGAAGGAAACGCTATTGCCAACGTGGTCAACATTGAGCCACTAGGATGCTTTTATCCTGTTTATATGCTCAAGATAATGTTTTGCAATCCTAAGGAGATTTCATTTCTGTCACATGTGTGCAAGAAAAGCTTCATTCTGATACCCAGGCAGTGACATCTTCTCAGCAACGTGTTCGCGGATCCCACACAAACGAGAAACCCCTATCGGGTTTATTGAGTGACGTCCAACTCAGCGTGGAAAATGTGAGCATGGGCTATCCGAGCATCAGATACACTGATACAGTACAGTATCAGCTTCTTCTTCTCGGAAAATCGACGACTATGTTTGAAGTGTTCCACCTGTTTTCATTTCTGAAACCCAACAAGAAGTGTTCTTCATATGTATAACTTTTTAAATAATCGCCAAACAATTACCAAAAAATTAAAGCCCTGAATATTTTTGCAGCAATTGCAGTATTTATAATGCTCGATTCTGCCATTTCTTAGAATAAAGAATAATTTTTGAGACAAAATTAATGCAACTAATTAAAAGAATAAAAAATGTAAAATTACGACTTCATTCACAGAAATATTTCATTTAAAAATTATTGCTGGCTTAAATATTGCAAAATGATGGATCGTTGGGTATTTAGTCACCCGATTGTTGAGAAACCAACCATCGAATGACCCGGGTACCTGACACTGGGTTGTCGTGAACACTTCGATGTCGCGATGATCAAGGATCCATCGCTCAGTTGTTCTCGGCGCTCACTTCGTGTTTACAGAAAAATTATCCTCCTAACCTCGAGGAGCCGGAGGGAGGGGGAGGGGGGAGGTTTTCAGCTGACATACGAAATAATTTAGGTGCTTGGGTTCAGTACACGCATGTACGTCGATCCTGAGTGAGGAAAGAATTTCCGGCAGCTGGTGACTCCCGAAGTCCGCCTGACACGCAAAGTGTCGCGCGAGGTGCTCCGCTCTTCCCGAGCCGGACAAGAGGAAATAGCGTCCCGCAAGTCGACCACGTCCCGCCCCGTCGTTCGGAACTACCCTCATCCGTCCGGAAGCGTCAACGTTGTTTCCTCTCCCCCCCCCCTCCAACCCCCTTCCCCGGGGTCTCCGCTGCGGCGCATTGCAGCAATATTGCTCTCTGCAGGACACATGAAGGAGGGAGAGCACCAACACACGATTTCAACCAGTTTAAATCCTCCGGAAATCCGATTGTTGACCCTTCCGTCGATGATGCGAGGATGTGTGGAGCGCTAAAGAAAGAGATGGCATTCAAGCTATACAGTACTTTGATCTTGTTGCCTTGCGACTGATCCTGGAAAAAGCGCATCTAGACCATCACTGATGAATCTTCTGCACGCTACGGATATTATGATTTTTTGCCACTTTAATTAACCCTTCCGTGGCGACAGGCTCTTTCCCATTGCGGGACGAAGTACGGATTTTCTCGGGTGGGCCCAGGTTTAAATTTTGTTGAAGGCCATGAAAGCCCAGCCAGGTGGCCTAGGGCGAAGTCGGACTTTATCCGGCAAAAATGTGTTGTTGTGATTTCCCGAAGTCGGAACAAAATGAAAGGGCCAAGAAGCTGAAAATAATATAACTAATCCAGGGATGAGATGAAAAAAAGCTCACCCTTCGGGATGGCTTTTTTTCATTTTTGGGCAAAAATTTTTTGCAGTATTTAAAAAATATGCCAGGATTTTTCCTGACTTCGCCCTGGATGCACTGTTATGACTTTTTTTAAAAGCTTCTCTCACTGACACCAAATTTTGTGGAAAAAGTCCAACTTTGCCGCCCAAGGGTTAAAATACTGTGCATGGAATGCAGTATAACTTTTTCAGTACCGCATTCACGTTATTATGCGACGCGTTCAACCGCACCACAAAGGCACTGAAAAATCTGCTGCGAGAACAATTAAATTTGGAATAATGTCGTCAGGAATAATAATTAATGCAACCAAGCTTTGCAATGCAGAAGCAGTAAATTTTTTCTCCGATGAAGTTTTTATTTTTTGTCGAGTTTTTTTCTTAGTAATGTACGACATTTTGAACAACCCCGTATAATCTTTATGGTGTACCATTTAAATGCTGATGAAATTTCGCAAAAAATTCAATCATTGCAATGTTTACCATCTTCCAGGATTTTAAAAATTTCTATGCGGTAGAAATGTACTGCATTAGTTGCATTCTCTTAAATTCCTGTCCGAGAAGGGGATGTGACACGTAATTGTAAAATATGGCGTGCTGCTTCGGAAAGCAATACAATGACAAAGATCGGCTGGTTTATCGAAAGTGCATCAAGCATGCGAATTCGTGAAGTAAAAATCCCTAATATCGCTACTCTCAAGTTTTAGATTGAAAAAAAAAAACGAGCATCGAGACTGTGTCGTCATTCTAAGAGATTCGATCAGTTCTTGGACAATCATTGGTGCAATTCTGCATTCTTTGTGCTGGCTTTGGTTATCCGCGATCATAAAATCTGAAATTTGGTTGCAACTCTCGTTATCTATAATTGTCGGGACCATACGCGACACTGACTGAGGGAAAGCATGCTGTAATTTCAAGAGAAAATTCCACGTCCCTTGAAGAAGCAGCATAGGAAAACCTCGCGGATGTTAGCGTCAATGTACGTACCACAGTCCGTCCATAGTTGAATGCCGTGCTCGAGTTCAATGCCGAGGAAATGAAATAACACGCGAGCACTTCCGTCCACGACGTGTTCGCCGCTCCGTCACGCTTCCGGAGAAAAAAAAGAAAGGGGAAAAGATTTTGGAGAACGTACGCAGTCAACGATCCGTGGAATCCCGAGGGGGTGTCACGGCCCCAAAGGGGGATAGCGGCGGTGGATTCATTTGCTGATTTCATGTGTCTGCTCTGGGTTGGTTCGACGTCGGATCGTTACACACTCAGCCGATGGACACTAAACCGTTGGGACGCGAGCTTGACATCAGAGGTGCATCATCATCCTCATCGACACCATGGGCGGAAAATTAACCTTGCCTCTTCGTTGATGAGTTTCTCTGGAGGGTCTGCTGAGGAGACTGGCTTCGTCCCCTTGAGTCCCATTGTTTCGCCGGTCTTGCAACGTTTGTGTTTCCGAGACGCCCCTCGTCCCTCTTGACCTGCGTGTTTTTGACGTGCCAGAAGCACAGGCAGCATTAGGTTTCCGAAACTTCGTCAGATGTTGGGACATGAACCTGGTCCATATTTTTTTAAGATGCATTGTATGACGTCCCTCCGAATTTCGTCCGGAAAGCCATTGATGGCCTTGCAGTCGTGGACTGTAAACATTATTAAGAATATAGGGCGCACTAGACGGCTAGGATCACCGAACGCATGCAATTCAACGCGAAGCTTTCGCAGTCAGTTGTCATTTTACTTGATTAAAATTTTCTCAAACATGACTTGCAATTCGATAAATGATGAAATGATCGGGCTTGCATAGTCAAATGCACATTCTGGGTTGCAGGCGTCCCCCTCTTTCGCGAAGCTTCCTTTCTTGATGCATTTATAATTCGGTACTTTATGAGGCATCAACTATACACTCCAAGAACTTTTGGCACTCGCACCTTCGTTATCTGCTGGGCAGTGGTGGGACAGGATTTCATTCTGTGGAACCGTCATTAACCTTACTAATTGCTTGGAATGTCCGCCCAGATAACCGAATTTCCATCATGGACGATAACAAATTTGTAAAAATCGCGGTACTGAATAACTTTAAAAATCAACAATGCCCTTTGTACATACTGTAACTCGAAGAGCAAAATAGAGCATTGCAAATGCCTTCATGAACATTTCTGAAATACAATTTTGATGAGCTTTTCCTTTTCTCTCTCCTCCAATGAAATGCAGTATGGTATTTTTAAAATGCATTCCATCTTTTCTATCTTAACTTCAGGATACATTCTGAGTAGAATTCTATTGCAGAAAAACGGGGCGGCGAAAGTCAATCTATTCTTGCGGGCCACTTCATTTCCCTTTTGGTTTTTGTGAAGCTTGGGTCCGGTTGATTGAATGCATACATGATCGAAGCTGGGAGCTAGAATTGAAGTTTTATTGCGCATAAAAATGTATATTATTTCCAATCGGTGAATCATGAATTGAACTTGGCAGACAGACATTGTCTGGTGTTTTTCTATTCAAGGACAGAATGAACCGTCGCTTGCCCGAATCTGCATGCGAACAGTATCTGCAGTGTACTGGCGCGTACCGGACAGCGAACGAGATTGCCTCGGGGAATTCAATGTGCATGCCCTACATCCAATAGAACATTTCCTATATTCAGTCTCCACTTGAACACCCGCAGGGTGTCCTCCAGGGACATCCCTGGGTACACAGAGAAAGATTTCCACCTTGCCTCAAAAGGTTACGTAAAATGACATTTGCGCGGTTTTTCCAACATGGTGACCAGAGGGAATGATCGATGCTGGGGGTATTTCTTCTTGTTGACTTCCGCAAGAAAAGTACTGCGCCCTTTTGTTCCAGCTGATTGAAATTCAACGCCGCAGCTCGCCCGACTGAGTTTCTTCGTGTGCTGTATTTCGTAAATAGAACTGCGAAGAAATAATTTTCGGGGATATTCTTTTGTCGGAAAGACTTTTAACGAAATTCGTGAAACCTTAATGACTGGGGTTCTCCTGACCTGAATGTGAAGTTTACCTCATCAACGTTTCCGAGACTTTTTGTGACCCGGAAACTTCTTGTAGGAATTTCTCGCTAACGATGCCACTTCTGTAGCGGAAAAAAGAATCGAAGCTTGCGGCTTCTACAAAAAGGTTGATATTGAAATATTAGGCAGTAGCTCTCGTTTTGCTGTTCGATGTTTAGAATCGGGGTTTTTTCGAGTACGCGGCTCTTCAACGATTTCACCGATTTTACTTTCGCGAGAACACGGGAATATTCACAGAATACGGTCGGAACTCATTGTAAGGTGTCAAATGGTTCAATGTTGTTACCGCGTGTCTGGAAGCGGATTTTTAAACCTTTTTTATAGATTTTGCATTATCCTCAAGACATGTCAGTGTTCACGTATCAAATCGTACGTATACCAAACACCCACGTGGCTTTAATTCGAATCAAAATATTTAAGGCTCATATTTCAGTGCAATACTTCATTCAGATTTCATTAGTATCAAACCACAAACACCACATTGAACTTTTCGAAGAGCAACTTCTCTGTGCCATCTGCCCAGTAAATGTTCCTTCATCCTTCCAACCACTTCTTATAACCCTTACTATACTTAATTTTGCTATGCTATTTTAGATTAATCTTGCCCCTATTAAAATCCCAGCTGAAGACCCTAAAAGTGTTTTTATACTGTCGGCCAGGCATACTGCTTATTAATCGCTGAAAAGCAGTTTTTGGTATAAACAAGCTTGTTTTTTTTAGAAGAGCACAGTAATATTCTTAGCACGGTGCGAGACGAATTTTCACTCTATATTGGTAATATTAGTACATATGTAAATGGGGGAAGAGATCACACAGCGGAGGAGGCTTCAATGCAAATATAAAGTCTTGAGGACATGGTATGATGTTCTCAATCTTTGTTTGAGGCAAGTGTGGTACGCAGGTGCCCTGGTTCAGAAGGAGATAGCACGCAAGCTTCGCCATGTTCTGAATGCCGTACAATCCAGAATAAGGTTGAAAAGGCACAGTTGACAATATATTGTGATGAACAGCATGGAGATTTTTGAATGGAACTAATCTTTATTTTTCCCGTGCTCCCTTTACAGGTTTCCTGGCTTCGCAGCCGTGATCAGCACATCCTGGCTGTAGGAGATTTCAAATACGTCGCGGATGACCGATTCCGCGCTTTCTACTCCACGGTAACGGAAACGTGGATGTTGCAAATAAAGTACGTGAAGAAGATGGACGCCGGGAGCTACGAGTGTCAGTTGCCTACGACTCCGAAAAAGAGCCACCGGTTGGATGTCAACGTTATCGGTGAGTTGCACAGTGGCTCAGGTTCTGATTCAGCGGGAACTGGCTTTTATTTTCTCGCGCCCGACTGAGCACTCTGCTCGAGGATGAGCAACTTCGGAATAGATGTGGTTGTGACGTTTATACCTTTCTCTTTCCGAAACTTATGCCCCCCCCCCCCCGCCACCCAATATATATATTCGTTTGTAGCTGCTGATTCAACATTGTTTCTAACGCGTGTGATGCGAGCTTTTTAGCGCAAATATCTTGCCAAAACGCTGTCCATCAAGTCATCGGGTTTTGTTCGGGTGCGCGCTTCTGATCAGAGTTTTTTTTTGCCGTTGTTTCTTTGGTGCATGAGTATCTTGCTGCTTTCCGTCTTATCGCCTCCTGTCACAGATGCTTGCGTTTCCTGGTCCGGTCCTATAGGAACTGCGAAGTCAGGAAGTACAGCAGAGCAGTACTACTGATGTTGACCAGGAAATTGCAGCACGAAAAGAAGAAACGTGGTAGTATTTTCTAATTCTGCTTAGTTCCCGAGTCGTTGGATAAGCGAAGAACAATGGTTGTGTCAACCGGGGAGTTCCGCTGCGTTTTGTCGGGAATTCCTCTCAACGGCCTCTTTGCTCCGCTCGATTTCGCGTGCCAGTCAGAATCGAGGCCCGTACAAAAGAACGATCTCTTCTTCTGCTGATTTGATACCCAGCGCAGGTCTCTTCCCTTACCGACATGAATCATTCTTGCACAAGTGATTGCCGTGAAGAGCCATTTTCAATTATTGAGCCTCCCTGAGTGCGCATGCATCTTCATCGTTGCAATGCTCGTTTATATTTTGTCAAATTCCAGGACAGGAAATTTCGAATTTAATCTAGCTGAAATTGGAACGTTATAACTTTGAACGAATCCGAAAAGACGTATCAGAAACTTCGTTGCGCTACAAATTCAAAATACATGGAAACCTCTGCACCCTCCGCCAAAAAGATATATTATCCTTGAAAAAGGTTGCCTTCTAATATCAGAAACGAGTGAACGTGAAAAATGGCTTTTTACTTTTTATAAACCATTATTCTTATGAAATCCTAACCTCGACGTAAGATTTGCATAATGAATCTATAGATGCAAGGACAACGTTGAGTAATTTTTAAAATCCGTCAGTATTTTCACAGCTCTGAATTTAAAATGGGAGTACTGTACTTCACATGCATTATACAGTACTGCTATGGAGCTTTTATGTGTTGGAGTGAAAACTTATTGGAGCATTACAAACTCGTATGTTGTTCTCTTGGATGGAGTTACTGTACTGTATCTTGATTTCCATATTGAAAGTACCAAGCGTAGGTTTGAAAATATTTGGGAGCTAATATGAGAGAAAATTATTCCACAAGAAAGCATAAAATTCCCCATCAAATAAATTTTTCAGACGGGCTTTCAATTTTTTATGTTGAGATTTTCAAGGTATCTTCTGCGGATAAAACTTACGAACATTCGCTGAAGTTGAAAATAGTTGTGATAGCATTCATTCTAATGGAATCCATTTGACGTTTTATCCGCAGTCGTAGGCGCAGGTTCGACATAATAAATTTACGGGCAGTTATTATGTGTGTGTGTTTTTTTAAGCAATGCTATTTCACGTGAGGAAGTTGTCCGTATTGATCAGAACAAAAAATATTGCTTCTCGGGAGAAAAAGAAACCACGGACTGAGGTGCCAGCTAAATATTGGCTTCGCTAAGCATCAATAGAGGCGAACATATTCCCAACGGGGTACATTCTTCATCGGGCACAGTGTGACGTGAAACTTCGGAAGTATTTCCGAAGAGACTTGGGAAGGAGGAGGAAGTTAGGTATCGTAAAATATTTCTACTGGTATCCCTCGCTAAACATTTCTCATCGTCCAAGGGCTGCCTAGAATGTCTCAGCCTCTCTCGTGGAACGGTGTTAAATCAAAGACACGCTGCGAGCACGGGATTTTTATAGCCACTTTGTTCCCTTAACGCAGTATGCGTTGTATCGGCTCCGGGCGATTTGTTTCTCCCCCCCCCCCTTTCCAATCGAAGAATTCACTTTTTTTTGGCAAGCACTCAATTTCCCTGACTGAAGACCTTGACGGGTTCCCGAATACCTTCATGAGCGTTTTGCACGCCCGGGAAGCTTTTACAACTTTCCGGGCTTCTCTTTCTCGTGCCTTGAACATTGTCCTGATGCCAGCGCACAGGATGACTTTATGGCGCTGTTTCATTTTAGTATGAGTTCCCCTTTTGAAATTTATGTGGGGTGTGTGACCTGATTATCTGTGTGGGCCCAACAGATTTTTATAATTCTTTCCACAGCACATATATTGTACCTCATGCGAGGGTTGCGGCACAGGCAACGCATCCGAATGTAACATGCGCCACGCCCCCCCCCCCCCCCCCCCCCCCCCCCCCCCCCCCCCCCCCCCCCCCCCNAATGTAACATGCGCCACGCCCCCCCCCCCCATCACAATAAAATGTTTCCGCATTGATCATGTCTGTAAAGCTGTGGTGAGAATGTGTCATGGAATGTTCCTCCGTGGGATTGACTACGTGGATCTCAAGAAGGTGATGCTTTATACATAGCTCCTGAAAAAATCCTGAGTACTAATCCTGAGGTTGACTCGAGACTTGACCAAATACAGTATTCGAGGCGATTTAGAATTCTTGTAAGGTATTTTCTGTCCATTGCATTTTAACAGACACTTTTCGAGTAAAAATTGATCAAAACAAGCACATATTGAGAGCGTAAACCGTATCACAAAATCTCTAGATGACATTTTTTTTAAAGAAGACAAAATCAGGATGTGAGTCTCTTTATCATCAGTCATTACTCACCGAAATGATCACATGCACACTCCCTGAAACGGTTTTTAGGTTCACAGATATCATTTAGGACTAATTAGAATGAGTTTAGTTTCTGCTTTCGCATAAAAACTACCGATCACGGCCTTGTCACTCACGATTTTCTGATACAGTGTCCAATTCAGCAAATATCAACCCCTGTCGCTCGAAAATTTTCAGGGCTTCTAACATTGTAAAGTCTTAGAGTTAAAGTTAACAAGCAAGTGTTTTATGGTTATTTCAGGTTGTATCTAAAAACATTTTGTAATTATAAAACAAATACATTTTAAATGCATTTTGAAACAACGGACAGATTTGACGATCTTTCGAATGCGTTGCTGCAAGGAAATTGTTTCCGTGTGTGCACTAATTTTTTTTTTCCAAGATTTCGCCTATCGGTATTCACAATCCTATTTCATTATTGAATTTTGTGAATGGGTGTTATTTAGATCAACAGCTTTCAAATGCAGAATACGGTTTTGAAAAACGGAAACGGAACCCCCATTATCTGTGCAGTAGTTGGGATTTTACATAAAATCACAAACAAACAAGAGACACAATGCAACAATTTAAAATAAAATAATTCTGCGCTGATACCTCCCGAAAGTTTTCAAATTCTGAAACTTGAAGAAGTTGTGTTGGATCGATGACGACTTTTCGAATCAAATTGGTTCTGCAAATATGCCTTTTCGTCTATATTTGGAGCATAATGAGGGCTATATAGGGTAATTATATTTCTGGTTAATTGAAGCCCGGATTGTTGATTTTCTGATTTGATTGTGTTATATTTCAGAGCCATACGAAGAAATTACTGTATTTCATTGGTCCCGTGTACATGCATCTGTGGCATACAGTATACTGTACCACCATTTCAGCGAAACTTGTATTTGTTGACTTCGTACCAGAAAGTGGACTGACGAATGAGAATCCCCAGATAAGCTGACGTTCGATTTTATTTTTTCTACAGTTCCCCATGTTCAGATTGTTGGCGGGCCGGAGATCTACGTGAAAAGCGACAACAGGCTCAATTTGCGCTGTCGGATCACGAAGTGTATTGAGCCCATGGAACTAGTGGAGTGGTACAAAGATACTCGACGGATCAGCGTCACTTCCAACCGATTGAGGATCGTGTATGACAAGCAGTTGTCGGAGGACGGATCCGCCACCAGCACCCTGGAAATATCCAAAGCTGTCAAGTCCGATTCCGGCGTCTACTCTTGCAAGCCGTCACACCTGGAGTCGTCCAACGTCACAGTCACTGTCGTCAATGGTGAGTCTGATTCCGGCGCCGATGCTTGATCTTCCCAAGTGATGTACTGCACTGTGCAAAGATGGCCAGAGACCTCTGCCGGCCGTCAATGGCTTACTTACTCCCAGAGCCTTTAAAAAATAACACTATCTGAAACAGTGTTCCCCAAGCCGTAGTCCGCGGACCGGCGCCAGTCCGCAGAAGTTTTTTGCCGGTCCACGGGAAATGTTTATAATAAACTTATCAAAAGTAGCGAAGAAGTCCAATATCCTTATCTGAAATTTTGGAAAGACAATGACAGTTGAAATTATTCGATAGAAAAATAAAAGTTGGCTTTTACCTCAATAGCACCTTCAGACAAATTTTCACTTGCTGAAATAAATTAAATTTCATTCTTGTCATCATGAGAAACTTTTCTCCAAGCCCACCTTTCTAATCCTTTGAAGACATTCCACTATAATTGATCATATAACTCGAATCGCAAGTAAGGCATTGACTCTTGATTTTTGAAAAAAATCAGAAACATTTTTAAATCCCTGTCATAAAGTCTTTCGAGGGAAAATTTGTTGAGTGTGCAAAAATTTTATGAAACTTTGCCGGTCCGAAGATATTCTTTGGGAAATTTGCTGGTCTGTGAAATTTTTTGGGAAATTTGCTGGTCCGCTGGCCCGAAAAGGTTGGGGAACACTGATATTCTAGGAAACCCCCGTGTAGGGTAGAATTTCCGCTTCGTTTCGATCCAGGATGATCAAGTTCGTCTTGTTCTCTCATGCTTCGAAAAACGTCGGGATACTGTACTTACTGCATTCGGTTAAACGCTTGCCGGAATACAGGCAAAAACCCCGTCTTGCAGGGTCGAAGACGATACAGACGTCTATAGATCTTGGTGATGCACATATAGATGATTTCTTCCCTGGGTAGGGTTGGGTTGGGATATTGCACCATGGAAAGGCTCGTGTTTCTGGCTGCTGGTGACTCTGTGACTCGCCCTCGTTCCTGATGTTTATTCCGTCCCCTTATTTCAATCAACGCGAATTCGGTTTGGCCTGTTTTGCCTGGCAGTGCTCCGTGAGTCCGTGTCATGACGGCGGTGCGATATTCATCTGGCCCTTTGCTGATAAGCGGCGCAGCGGTCGTCCGGGTGGAAACCTGCAAATTGTCCCAGCCCGCAGTATTCGTGTTCCTCTTTGCCTTCAATGCTCAATCAGCCAGCATTTAATTAAAATCATTAAGGACAATCCGGCTTCTGCAGTCAACTGCGTCCGTCGAGTTTTCGGTAACGTACCCATGCGCTCGACACGCATGACCTGAGCACGTACCGGGCAAATATGAATCAATTTATCTCAATTGGGCATAGAGAACGTGTGCATTGACTAGTTAGTTGCACTATCGATAGCTAACAAGCTATCTGAATAAAATTGTAATTAAAAAATACAAGGGCTGGTTCATTATAGTTGTTCCATTTCCCATCATTGGATATGTGCGAAGGTCGACCATTTTCGCGCTATTCGTCAACATTGCTTGATCGGTATTCCCGTTTTTGCCCATTGAGATCGGAATGGTGAGAAGAAAGAGAATTTAAATTGCACTTTATATCTACTTACAACGGTTGTTTACTCATGCATCAATTAGAAGGTGGTCTAAGTTGTACCAAGCATTAAAACAAATTAAAAATCTCTTCAAGGATACGGCTGATAACGATGGGTCGTTTAGTAAAAATCGTGTCTAATATTTTTGTTGATTCTGGCGTTGCTAAAGATTATTCTTAGTATTATTCAAATTATTTCTAAGAAGTCTCCTACGGTAGGCCTGCAATTTAAGAGAATGCTTTACGAATGAATATTATTTATTTACCTCGGGTCTCGGTATTTATCCCAAAGAAGTTCGGAGAATCCTGACGCAGATGATCAGGGATCATCGCATTATTTATGATACCGAACCTGAATATCAAGGCAAAGCAACGATTTTAGAATTGGTATAATCCTTGAATTTTTGGGTTTTTAAATGTATTCGTCTTCAGATGAGAGGAGATTAATCAGCGCTGGAGTGGAGTGGATCAGGGAGGTGATGCTACGAACAGAATTTTAAAAATCAAAAGCCCTGTTTCGTTTCGTATTCAAAATTAACGAAACAATTTATTCATCAGTCCTCGTACATGAAAGTGGGGCAAACATTGAATACCGTAGTGCGTCTGAAGTGCTCATTTATGTCGACGTTAGCGACTTCATTACGATAAGTGGGGGTTGAAAAGACAGCTATCATGTTTATTTTTCAACACTTCCATTTTATTCTTCCCGCTCTCGACTCTCATCGATGCAACATCTTTCCCAATGAGAAAAGAGCCGTTAATTACTGGCGGTTTGTTGCAGGCTGTCTTGAATGCTCCAGTTCGCACATTTCCGGGCGGAATTCCTTCAGTTTTAGAGCTCTTCATGGGGAAGCTTTCATCTCCTTCAACATGTTACACACGCTCACTGATCACGGAACGTTTTCCGCATCCCTCGTAATAAATAATGCGGCAAGTATTTCAAACTCGATAACAATCCCCAAGAATCAGAAATGAGCCCCGGCTTGCAAGAATAATAAAGCCCTACTGTACTTCGATAACAATGAATTCGGATCAAAAATATATTTTTTCATCGCTTAACGGGAGCACTTCGGACAATGTTCGAAATTCGTCGAAATTCCAATTTTCGACAATATCGCGAGATTTTGAAAGATTGAAACTTTCTTTTTGACAAATGCAAGGATATTTTCTTCGAATTTGGTCATGAGTTGTGTCGTCAGTTGGTATCCAAATGCCCGGCAAAGAAATCCCGGTAGCATTTAAACTGAGAGATACTGATCATTATTGATGTAGAATGAATATTTAAAAAAAAGGCTCGATGAAGTACTCTCAGCGTAATGCTCACCAATAACAATTCTGAAAGATTGTGATTGTTTTGGAGGCTACCATAAGGAATTGCAATCCCATATGCATAAAATATTTAACGCATGATAACCCTTTTAAGTATTCAAATTGAACATTTCCCGTTTACACGAGCACGCAATTGCTAGTTGCATGCGACGAAAACGCATTGAAAACTTTTACTGGATTCCGGGAGCTTTCAAGTATAAGTCGAAATGTTAGTTGCAATCATAAAGTATTTACTCACGATTATTTAAAAATTGCGCCAGGTATATTCTTGAAGCTTAGCTAGAATATTTCAATGTTTGGGACTTACTTTAAAATATCTATCGTCATGAAATCATTCATTGATTGGTTTTGATTAAATTATCATATAATGACCACCCGTTCGAATAATATCGATTTTTGATTGAGAAATAAACGTTAGAAGCATTTATCGTGGCTTAAAAGCTGCAAGAGACATCATATTGTTCATCGAAATTAACTAATACCTGAACATTGTGGTTCAGTAATCATAATTACCAGGAATGTTCGTCTGTTCAGCAGTGGGCGAAAAACTTTGCTCTTGTCAGATAAGCCTCATAGGCCTGAAAAGGGCACAAATTTCAGAGAAGCGGCGTTCAAAACCAGAAGTTTTTTTCTATTTCTTCACATTTACACCTCTTATATATATATATAAAAGCTTCCCCGAGTTCACCTAGCGCACCATCATGGAAAGACTCGAAATTAGATTGTTGGTGAGAGAAGAATTTTATTTTAGCTGTGACCAACGAGCATGATGCTCTCCGCTGAAATCTTATCAGAATCAAGGTGGATGCCTACGAATCGCTCTATATAGTAAAGGAATATTTTTTGCTTTCTTTCCCATGACATATGGAAAAGTTAGGGGCTTGCATGTGGCACAGTTGCACGTGATAAGATTCTGATGAATCGGTCAATTATACTTCAATTATGTGCCCGCGTCATGTCGGGGACATCGTACGCCGGAATATTTTTCCGAGCCAGCTCATGCTCTCCGCCACGGTTGGGCGGGCCATCAAGAGGAAAAATTTCCTCACGGATTAATTCGCGAAATCCTTGTAAATCCGCGTTCTCGTTGGAATATTCACGTCGGTCTTTCCTTTCCTCCAAACTTTCCTTACCTCTGCTTGACGACGAGCGAAAATAATTGGGAATGAAATCTCCATTTCTCCTCTATTTTTCTAGCTTAGGAAAAATATGCATGCTCTATGGAGACCGTCCATCGGAAATCATCGCCGTGATGGTTTAAAAATGGTGCGAACAGATTGGTAAAAGATCATCGCTAATAAACTTTTGACATCGCAGCAAGAGCTATATTTATGCTGGGGCATGAACTTCATCGCTTTTCAATCTGAGAAAGGTAGCAGATGAAGTTTCGATTTCTTTTCTCGTCCTAAAAAAAGGCCTTTTCTGTACATGTTTGGCCAACGTACGCATAACCAACAGAATCGCCGTCAAGGTACGTTCGGAAAATTTCTAAGGCGTTGAGGGAATGATCGTAATTAAACTTTCTGAAATTTGATGAAAACGTATACCGGTAATTGAAAAATTTTCTTTGGGTAAAATCCATCATTGATTCTTCTTCCGCGAAGGATTGCGATTCAACCTCAGTTTGCCATCTATGTCGTATAATTAGTTCGTAAAAAAAAAAAACCTTCCTGCGATGGCCAACGGATATTTTTCACCATCGCCGCCTAGTTTAGAAATCCTTAAGCTGTTCAGCGGAAGATTTTCGTCAAATTATTACTGTATATATAAAATTAGATTACTGTACCTTGTCTAATTGCGGGAATGTATCGTTATGAATGAGGGCTGAGAGTTTCGTTGTTTTGTAATGCAGGAGTAAATTCCGTATAACGACATAAGCTGCACAGAGTTATTATGCCGTCCTTTTTTCGTTTTTTTCCCCAAAAGAGAAGTGGATGAGTGAAGAAGTTGCGCTGCCTTCAGGGTAGAGGAATTATTGGGTGATGAGTGGAGCAATTTCGTGGTTCGAAGCACCAAGATTTCCTGGTAGTCTTCTTCTGGTCTTACGCGGAAACCGCTTCCGCGGGATGTAGCTGTTGTTCGCCGGGTACAAGTACGAAGTACCCATTGAAGTATTTCCGGTCCGTGCGTGCCAGGTGACCATAAGCAAGGGATGGACTTGCGAGGGTCTCTCGCTTTCACGCAGAATACCGGTGCGGCGATTCCAATATAATGAACGGAGGGTGGCGTCGAAATGAATATGGGTATACAGCATGAGTGCCGCGGGGAAAGGCACAGGCATAATATTCCAACCCCCGCGAGGTTATTCCAGCAATATGACACGGGGGTGGGGGGCGGGGTAAAGCGGGGTTCTCGAGTTGAGGGCCTCTTTGTGGATCGTAAACGCACTTGACGCAACCGCGTGCGGGTGTCAGTACCCGCATTTCCGCCTCGCGGCACGAAATGCTCGCCATATCAAGACCTCGACGAAGGCCGTGTCAAGGGTCGGGTTAACTCCGCGTCGGGACGAGGAATTGTTGCAAATCCGGATCGTCAGGGTTTCATTTTCCGCTACCGTTCCTCCGGGAAAGAATCAACGCTTTCCGAAATCGTCTTCCAAGGCACGTTGCAGCGGGTGCCGCGGAAAAACGTGCTGGTGACGATATTACGAGACCCGGTGTGCCGCGAAGACGGAGATTTTCAGCGATGAACCCGCGGGAGGGCAACGAATTCCGATCCGGGCTTTGCATGTCGGACCACCTTTCGCTTATGGTGTTGTGCCACTGATGGCGTTCCTGTGGCGATTTTCGCAGGGGGTGCTGTGGGCCTTTTGCAGCTGGGATCTCTGAGTTCATCGCTCGGCAAGGCTCTGTTCATCCGTTCCTCCTTCTTGCGGGGAATAAAAAAAAACACAAAAACGAAAAAAAAACGAGGGTTTCCGTTCCTGGATAGAGTTCTTTCTTTTCCTCCCCTGGAAGAAAGACTATATGCCTTGAACCCGTTCAACGGTCTCGACTGAATCTAGAATCGATCGCATTTCTTATTTCCGCCCCCCCCCTCCCGTTCGGGGACCGCCGGGGTATTTCCTTTTGCGATTCCGTGCTTTCGCGTCAAATTGCCGCTCTGGGCGTTTGGGGATAAATACACAACTTGCTCATTCGAGCCATGCTTTTGCTCGATCTGTCGACTTTTCTGTTCGACGCCTGCTCGTGTCAGCTGTGGCCCATCAATCATCTGGCTGCTGCAGCGTCACGCTATTAATGCGTGCATGTTACCCGGCTTCCAGACTGGGGTTCTGTTTTATGACCGGTGTACCACCGTGAATCAACGTTCATATTTTCTCGTTAAAAAATTTAATCCCGAAACCGCCGTCAGAACATTAAAATTTTCATCGGGAAAAGAAACGTGTCGGTGGATTCAATCAAGTAGTATTGCTATATCCATGGTCATGATGACTGGTTTTTGCCGAAATAATGTAAATGCGCGGACAATTGAATAAGATATTCGACTTTTAACAAATGATATTTAACGATGACTCAACACGAGCGTTGTACCACGCATTCACGGAACTTTTGAGGGGGGTAAAACTCCTGACGGTCGCATGCTCGAGCATTTAATTTTATTTTTAAAATTTCAATCAATTGTGAAAAACCTGAATTATTCTATGAGAAATGTCTATGATTCTATAAGGGGAAAGAACCGGTTTAAATTAAAATTATAAGCGCCACTCTGTTATTTTTATGTTTTTCAAATAAATTTGGGTTTAGTGCATGATTAATTAAAAATTTGAATTTTTTATTAACCTTCAATGCAGAGAACTCAAGTTTTACTTAAATGCTGCATATCTGAATTAGTTCCTTGGTCTGTTGAATTCCGCAGGCATTTGATCGGGTTCTAAAACTGGGGGAGCAGTTTTATAGAAGTGTCATTATTGTTGGTTTTCAAGATTCAGAAAATCTACCGGTACTTTCCGAAATTGAATCAGAGTCTCCAACGCCTTAACCTTAAAGTGCTCATCCGTAATTCAAAGGTGATTTTATTGTGAACCTGATGAGATCCCATCGGGCGGATTACCCGAGATCCATCCGATGCAAGGTGTTCATTTCCTCAAGAATAAAGTTAGCCGCTCACATGAAATGCGTGATAGTTTTGGAAATGCATGTTTCCATGGCATCCGTCCTGGGTTTCATCGCTATACTGAGCCACTTCAATGCTTCTCAATTCATAAAACTTAATTAGGGTTCGTGATGATTCTTCGAGCCAGTGTTGATAAAACCTTCATATTGGAAAATGAATTCAGCGTTTGAGCTCGTTTGAAGTTTGGCATGCTCCTTTTTTATTAGCCTAATTAACGTGCAATAGTTTTTCCGCGATGAAAATTGAAGTATTCGCTACGATTCTTCAACGCTTTTCAAACTTTTTGTGTATTTTACTGCTTTCAGGACGTCAGTTTTTCATGTTTGTTATGTTTGACAAATACATCCAGGGCCTTACCTGGGATCAGTGCAGGGAACCTATTTAAATATTTGTTCTGATCTTGAGTTAAGTTCATAGAAGTGAAGTTCACTCTTGTTTCAAATTGAACCACCAGTGTTCAATACATCATTCTGCAAATGTATCCCTTAGCTGCGTTCATTTCAAGTTAGGTGCACCAGAATCCAGAACGTTTCAAACTCGGCATCCTAACTTTTCCCACGGGGAGTTTTTTTCGTTGAACAGCCTTGAATAAAACAACGAGTTCAGCAAAGGTTGGCTATTTTTGGCAGTCGGATAATTCGAACTACTACACCGAAAACCTTTTTTTCCTGTCGACCGGTTGCTGTCGGGTGGACTATCGACGTCGCCGGGAAATTACGCGTGATTTCGGAGCGTGTGTGAGGGGGGGGGGGGGGGGGGGGGGC